CTGTAATTTTAAACTAAGACATTTTATTTTTGGTCGTATTTATTATTAAATAGTTTATATATAATACTATGATATAAATGGCTTTCAAAATCAAGCGGTGTTTAGACAGTTTCATATAATTTATGAATATCACCAAACTGTCTAATCGTTGCTTGAACTCATATTTGTTTTCAATAATTAAATGTTATTTTATGATTTTATACGATTAAGGTAAAAGTTTAAAGTTAAAATAGAAAATATTTAAAAAAGAATAAATTTTTAAGTATTTATATTCAACAAATGTTTGTTAAATTAATGTGACATCTTTAATTCGTATATACGTGCCATGGGTGAGACAACAAATTCACACAAACTAGAGGCGAGCAAACCAAAATCACAAGAATGAAAAGAAAGAAAAACTGGTCCAGGTGGCCGAGAAACCCTAATAGTGGGTAGAAATAAACCCTAATAGTGGGTACAATTTTCAGAGGTTATTTTTTACCGCCATTATTAAGTTAACAAAATATTAATGTGATACATTAAATCGATAATTTGACATTATTTTTTAGGGATGACAATATAACCCGAATTCGATAGTGTCAGATTTTAAAAAAAAATTAGGTTCGGGTCGGGTTGATTTTTTAGTGACAAGGTCGAGTAAAGACAGATTCGAGTGGAGGGTAAAAACAACATACCTGACCCGGTCCAAGGATAATAATATATTTTTCTTAAAAAATTTATTTTTAATTAAATATTTATTTTTTATCAGGTTAGTTCAGATTTTTACTCTAAAAATTCGGATTGAGTCGTAGTCAGGTGGATGATATATATTTTTTGGGTCGATTCGGGTTAGGCGGAACTTATAAAAAGTTTCGAGTCTGGTCGAGTTCAGGTGAAGGATACATGTTTTTAGGTCAAATCGGGTTGACCAAAACTCGACATGTTACCATCCCTACTATTTTTCCATAAATTTAACTTCTCAAAACTTTTTACCGACGTTTAAACTCTTCTCTATTCTTCTTCTTCTTTTCTCTCCTCTCTACTTAAAAGCTAGGGGAGCTTCCCATCCATCTCCATCTCTATTATCGATCCTCAATCAAACCCCCCACACACCACCCATCACAAGGTAGAATTTTTCAACTATAAATATTTACCCGGTTAATATTATACCACATGCTTATATCCTCTCATTAAGTCGTAAATGACACGAGATAAATTGCGAGTTATTTGAGATTGACTCTGTCAAATTTCGATAAATACTCGAGCTCGTGTTCAACTCGAGTTCTTAACGAACCGAAATGAGTTACTTGATACTTAACTCGAAAAGCTCGTGAGTAGCTCGAAAATATAATATATTAAGATTTAATTTTTCTAAAAAAAAATAAATTATTAATATTATTAACATTTATGTGTTGGTTTTTTTAAAAAATACAGCATAAGGTTTTCATGTATTTAAGGTTATGGTTCGAGTTTGAGGCTTCAATCGAGTTAATTTTAAGATTTTTCTTCATTTTGAGCCATTTCAAGCTTTTACGAGCTTCACTTCATGATTTCGAGTTCGAGTCGAGCTTTAAAATTTTAAACTCGAGAGTTTTCGAATCGAGTCGAACTCCATTTCAGAGTTTTTGAGTCGAGACTAACTCAGCAATATTCGACTTCGACTCGACTCGTTTGTAACCCTACCTCTTACACTAAATTTCTTCATATAAAAATAGTGGCCTTGCCCCTTTGAACATGATACAGTTTTTTTATAGTCCCAGAATATTTTAAACTTTTGATTAAGTATAATGATAAAATTGCACTCTTTTTCCCTTTTAATATGATTTATAGATACCAACAATCAGTTGGTCTAGTGAGATGAGAAATTAGGTCTCTTAAACAAGGTTAGGGGTTCGAATCATGTCATTTGCGAATGGAGCAAACTGGGTTGGGAGAGTCACCCTCGACTCTACAGTACCCGATCTGGATTAGTCGATCAATAGATCGAATACCAGTAATTAATTCAAAAAATATGATTTCTAGATCCACCTTGCATCCACCCACGATTTCAGTCACTGTAACAAAATTCACAGTCACGTTTCATTTACATAAACTATTATGTAATGTCTTTAAAAGGATTTTCTTTTGGCAAGAGTAACAATTTTGTATCTATAAATAAAATTATTCCATGCATAAGTTGCATGCCCAGTGTACAAACTTATTGGCTTTAATAAATCCTAAGTTTTAAATAGTTTAAATAGTTACGAGATAATATTTGTTCATAATTCTTTTTAGTAATTGACAACATATATCTTGATGAAGTAGCTATTTGAATTTAAAATTTCTATGAAGAACAATACTCCCCTTATACTGAAATTGCTTGATATATTCAATAAATAAATTAATAAATATGAGAAATTTTAAAATCTAATAAATAAATAATATGCAATTTGACAAATTGTTTCTCATATATGAAATAAGATGGCTTAACAACCTCTAAAGAAAGATCACAATACTAATTAATTAATACACATCCAAAATTTTAGACTAAAGTAAGGAAAAAATTTTTAGGATGAACACAAAAGAGGATAAAATGATTAAGAATATACACATCCTAAGCCTAATATGATATTTGAATATAAAAGGGTTTTATCAAGCTAGTATTAGATTTGATTTCGATTGTATTTATTTGTTAATAATAAATAAATTTATCTGAAAATGTTATCGTTTTTATAATCTTATTAAACTCTATCATTGGAAAAATTATTAGAAAGTCTCGGTTCATCACGTTATCTGAAATTGTCTCCCTTGGTAGGGTCTTATTCCACGAACACCATCGAGGCAGAAGCATGAGACACTTCAATACATCGGCTCCCGGATTTCGAAATCTCGAGTTGGACAAACTTTCGTTCAGCATATTGATTCAATTACACTCTTAAAAAATTTCAATTCTTATATTTTTTTATTAATTATCTAATTTTACATCGTTTTAAAATTTTATAATTTAGTATCCCTTTAGTTTTTAATATAGTTTTTTAAATTCATTATTACTGGAATAAAATCTTACGTCTCGGTTCTCTGCAGCCAGATCCGACTTTACATATAGGAGTCCATAGATGTACTTGCAATTGCATTAAGCCATATTTGTATTGAAATCTAAAGCTACCAAATCAAAGATTAAGAATATTGAAATCATAAATATATATATATAATCTTTTCTAACAATTGAATCTGGGAACAATGCTTAAGAAGAACTAAGAAACCTCCAACGTTTCTTACCTATCAAAATAAACAACCCAGACATAAAACAAGAAATGTACGTACAAATACCCCTCTACACTGACATATGTATATATAAAAGCCATAGCTAAAGGTTTGTTAGGTCGTTGAAGCTCTTATGGAGGAAAGAATGGTGAAGAAATTGCGGTTGCTTTGCTTCGGTTTATTCGTCGTCTTCTTCCAGGATTTCTTCTGATTCCTCAGAACGCAAACATCGCCATGGCATATATATTTTGAATATGAGGATTCTGTGAAACAACCAAAGATGTTTTGGAGCAAAGCCATGGGAGATCAAAGTTTATGCTCCAAGGAAGAAGCTATTATTGTTCATGGCTTTTCCCTGTCTACGCATTTATAAAGGGTCGATGGCATTGACCTTTTGCTTTAGGGAGCTGGGTCAAAGTTGGTGGGCAGAACAGAAATTACGATTCTAATTTTCAGCTCCACATTCGCACACGTTCATGTAGCTTAAACCATAATATATATATATATATATTAAACTGAAAACGTGTTAGACCATGTGTTGTTTTCTTCATAAATTTTTTAATATTATCAATATTCGATTTGTCGATCAACTAATTCAGATTAATACAGAAATTTATTAAGAAGATAAATCCTTTCAAATTAAGTTTTCTTATTTATTTTAAAATTTAAACTTATATTTTTTACTAAATCTGATATCTTATCTCGTTATATTATATTGTAGTTTATATTTTTATAGAGTTTTCTTAATTATTTTTAATGGATTAATTTTTTCCTTATTTGATATTATATAGTAGTTGATTTTTTATAGAGGTTTTTTAATGAATTTGAGGAAGTTTTTATTTTTGGTTGTTGGTGTTGGTAGACTTTTGGTAAGTGCTTTAGACTTGATTTAAGTATTTTCTTTTCAATTTATTAATAGGTTATAAGTCATATTCTGACAATTTTTTAAAATGTATTTGTATTTATAGTTATTTTTTATTTTTTACATGATATTTATGTTACAAAATTGAATTTTTATAAATTTTAAAAAACAATTTTATTTTTATATAAAAAATTCTTTAAAAGTCAAAATAGAAAATATTATACTACAGGGACTAGTCTTATATAGGTCACTTAAATAACACATAATATTTAAATATTAATATTATAAATAAAAAAATATTTTTATAATTATTTTTTTACTGTGAGTCAATAGATTGAATATTATAAAAACTAAACCAACATCATATCATGCTTATGTAATAAATGATAATATATCACACAATAGATGATAGAAATTTCATCAATAATAATTGTAAAAAAAAATCATCATTATTAATAAGGTCAAAACCTATTGCTGCCCCTTTGATTGACCAGTAATTAGAATTACCAAACGGAAAAATTCCACCTCATAGTTAGAGGTAAATTACTAATATGTTTAAGATAAAAACCCAAAATGAAGTCATTTCCTTGCTGTAAAAAAACCATAGGGAAAAACCAGAACAAATAAGCTGTAGACTTCCATTGTAATGAGAAATAAAGCCGCCTATTATGGCCTACCATTGAATTAACTCTAACAAAAAAAATCTCTAAGCTCTTAGCTAAGGCTCTAACCCCTCCTTTGACATGCAGAGGCTTTGTCTTCACAAGACAACCTCAAAACAAACAAAAAGACAGAACCAGACTTATGTCATTGAGTTCCTTCGATGTAACTAATGACAAAGACTTGGGTTTTTTGTCCCTTTTGTCTCCCTTTTGTCTTATTTATTAGTTAGCATCATATAAAGCGGAAGCGGAAGATGATGATGATGGGCGGAAACAACCAAGTTTGTAGACAAAACGAGGGCGGTGTGGGGTTGAACAACAACGGCAGCGAAGAAGGCGGTGTAATCTTGAAAAAGGGACCGTGGACGGCGGCGGAGGATGCTATATTGGCCGAGTACGTGAGGAGTCACGGTGAAGGGAACTGGAATGCGTTGCAAAAGAACACAGAGTTGGCACGTTGTGGGAAGAGTTGTAGGCTACGATGGGCTAACCATTTAAGGCCGAACTTGAAAAAAGGAGCCTTTTCTCCTGAAGAAGAAAGAATCATTATCGAGTTGCATGCTAAAATGGGTAACAAGTGGGCTCGCATGGCTACTCAGGTAAACACGTCAAAGAACGGTCATCGTTTCTTCTTCATTCTCCTTCTTAAAAAAAGTCATTTTCACGTGTACATTTTGATTTTCTTTCATGGAAAATGAAACTGTGTTTTTGTTATTCGATCTTGTTTATGCTTTTTGTTCATCTTCTTTGTTGATTTCTTGCTTTAAAAGTTATCATCCTCATTTCATCAGCATGAACTTCAGTCAGTGTCTGCATTTTGGTCGTTGTTCATTTTTTTTTCTAGAATTTCGACGGTAAATGTCTAGCTGATTAATTTACTTCCTGTAGTATGATATGTTTTGTTTGTTGTTTCAGTTTCTGAATTTTCTAGCTATTTTTTAATAGCTTTGAATCTGGATTTTTTTTATTATAGCTTATCTAATTATGACTTTATGAGTAATAATCTGTTATTAATTTCTTGCTTTTTTGTTTACTTTTTTTTCTTCCATTGATGCAATCTAGCTCCCAGGAAGAACAGATAATGAAATCAAGAATTATTGGAACACACGAGTCAAGAGAAGGCAACGTCGAGGCCTCCCATTATACCCTCCTGATATCCAACCCTTGCTTTCCCAACATCAACAAAACCAGCACCGTTCGCTGCCGGCGACGCCGATTGCATCCCCTACAGGCACATCGACCTATTCATTCTCCTTCCAAACCCCGAGGCCATCCTCGTCGCCGAATCTCCATGGTTCTATGTCAATGCAATCGCACCCTCTCCATATCAATCGGTCAACGTCTCACATACTCTATAGCCCGCATTCGGAACTGCCATATCTCCGTAGTCCGGCCACGGTTTCGACACCACCCCCACTTCCTAACCCTTCACCTTCAACACATGTGTCCCCATTTCAATCTCCCCATGGGCCTGCATTTTCGACTCTCCCTCTATTTGATTCTTCAACATCAAATACTTGTAATAACAACATCAATTCTAGCAATGGCGGTCATAATAACAATAATACTGTCTCCTCAGATTTCTTCTTCCCTAGAGCAACCCCTCCACTTCAGCTACCGATGCGATACAAGCGGTTGAGACTCAATGTAAGCGAAAGTAACAATGATGTTGTTGTCAATAACGGCAGTGGCAGCGGCAGTACTGGTTCGAGCTTTATGTTACAACATCCTCCTTTGCAGAAGAATTCATTTTTCGATCCCCATAATTTTGCATCAACCTTTGGTGGTACTAGTACTCCATTGACATCCCCACACTACCCTTCCCCTTCATATTCTTTGGATCCGATCACACTCGATCTTACTTCGTCTTCAAGGATCCTCGCCGATCAACACCATTTCGATACCGTACAGTTCATATCGACTCCGGAATTTACTTCTCCATCTAAAAGGAACGACGAGCTCCCTTCGAACCATTTTTTGTCCCTAGATGGGAATTCAGAAGTTACCTTTGATCAGAATAATAACAACAACAATGACAGCAATAAGATTTTGAGTATCCCTTTTTGTGGCTTGCTGGATGATATGCTGGAGGAGGCTCAACTTTTGGCTGCCGACAAAGACGATATCACACGGCGGCCAACATGTATGGTCGGATTCAGTACCAGCTCCGAGGGTCTAGCTTCAGGTCAGTCCATGAAACAGACTTTTAATGCAAGATGGAGGTTAATAATTGAAGTTCAAATATGGTGATAATATGCATTATTGTCTAAGATAGGGAAAGAAAAGAGGCCAAAGTGGGGTTGTCATTGTTTAGGAACCTTTTTATAGTGAATTTTTAACCTTTTAAATGCCACCATTTCTACTTTGATTCTGACTATTTCTGTTGCACTTTTTCTTCTTTCAACCGATGTGGGATTCATAGCAAAAGAAGAAACAGCAACAGACCAAGGGCTCAACGCTACGCAAGAAGACTACTCCGGGCTACTCGATATTCCTTCGTCGATGGCAATGCCCGATTGGTACGACAACTGTGGGAAGTCTCCAACAGACTTTTGGAATGACAGCAAATAGCTTCCCTATTATATCATTCTATATTAGATATATGAAGAAGTATTCTCGGTAAAGTAAAAATACCATACGTATAATGTGTATATATATACACATTAATACATGTACTAAGCTTAATGTATAAAATATATGATTACCCTAATAAAATTTGAAGGATAATCAACATTTATTCTTCAAAAGCATGTAATTAATAGTAATGGACTTGTCTTGGTTGCTTTCATGGGAATATGGGATAACCCACCCTCTCAAGGATTATCACTAAAACACATTAAGATTCACTCCTTACATCCAGCACATGAACAACACAACCTCAGTACACTTATTTATACATATAAATTTTATTCATTTTATTTAAGTTAAAACTAATAAAATTTCTCTATAAGTATGTATTTTTACCAATTTATATACATCTATAGTTATACTCGTATAATCCTAATAATAAAAAATAATTTTATATCAACAAACGTATTAATTACAAAATATTGAGTATATATTAAAAATAAAATATGTAGCTGTACATTCCAAGTTACAAAATAGAAGCCAAAATACACTGGCATCACCAAAAGGAAACGTACAAGCTAAAATACTTACACGATGATTAATGAAATTGTAATATACGTGAAAATAGAAGCAATATGTACTATATACATGAGCTGTTGATCGTCAAACGATAGAGTCGACAGTACCATTAGCAGCAGATGCCCGGTCGTCATCGACCTCTTCTTTCTCAACTTCGCTACGACGTAACATCTTAATTCGAATCAGATGAGACACACATCGAGCTGAATCGCAGGCCAGTTCGAACACCTCTCGGTACGAGTCGACCAGTGCTAACTTAACAAAGAAACCACACCATACGATCATCAGGAACGACCCGAGGGACGGGAAAGGTATGCTCACGAGTGAAATGGATGCAAAGGGTGCAGATAAGCGAGCGATAGCAGCGATGATGTTGGGGCATTCGATGTCGTCAGTTCGTAGCATGAACTCGGTCGCCATGGCTGCAACGTACGTTAACGTAGCGATGTAAAAGGCCAATATCGTGGCGGTGTTGTCGTCGAATGGAGAAGCATTGGGTTTGTTGAAGTATTTGAGTAGCAGAAAGGGCACGAAGGCACCTATTGGGAAGCTTAAAATTGCATGCATTGTCCCCAAGTCACCTGCACTGTAAATTCGAACATCGGCCGTCAATACAATTATCTCGGAAATCAATAAACAAAAAAAGAACTCTAAAGTACCTTACGGCCATCTTCTTGTAATTCTTAGATTTGTGGGCACAGTGAACACTTTTGAAGATTTGACCGATTGATTATTTATTTATAGAGGTGTTAGACATGAGACGCTGAAAATGATGGATTGGTACGTAAGTGTGGTTTTATCGCTCGAAATCATAAAAAAAAACGTTTGTTTTTCCAAAATTTTCTTCCCCAACATTTCTAGAAAATCAGTTTCTCGGAAAATACTATTAAAGACACATCAATATCGAAAATTGACTTTTCACATATAAATTGATTGTTAATTTTACTTTTGATTTAATCTTTTAGGAACTTTGTTTTTCTAAAAGAACATTACTCACACTTTTAGGTAATGTTATTTTTAATGTATTTATTTTCCTTGCATTATTGGATGTAATAATTAAGCAAATTTGTATAATTATACATTCAATCCTCATTGTAATTCTATTAATTTGGTGAGTTGATTGAAGTCATTTTAATATTTTAATAATATGATTGATAAAATTCATAGTTTTTTTTGAAAGAGGGTACTTTGTATTATGAAGGATTATAAAGTACACCAACTCAAGGACCTCATTAAAAAACTTCTCTAATCCTGAATGGAGGAAAAAGAGTGTACGAGGTGGTAGGGATCTAATACACAAAAACTCTTACAACATACAATCCAAACCCCAGCCCTACAATAATCCCCAAACCAGTTCAAAAATAAGCCTACACACAGACAATCCAATAAAATGACTTTGGATCTAAACAAGGACCATACATAGGCATCATAATTAATGGAATGAACCAACACCTCTAATAAAACATCAACAACAACCAAAACATAAACGATGACAAGCACTAAGAAATGGAGAAATTGACTTGCTGAAACTGACCCAATGAAAAGGAAAGACTTAAAGCTCGAACTACAAAAGAGTTATTCAATCTTTTCAAAAGAAACAAAAGGCTTCGAATGCTAGCAGAACTACCAGAGAAAACCGCTTCCAAATTACACAAGTTGCCAATAGTCTCGAACAAGGACAGAAACATATATCCAGAGAACTAAAACATTTGAAGCCTACCTAGCTGACCCAATACATCTCTTGCAATACGTAAAACAATAAAATTACAACACACCCAAACTGTAACACCCCCAACCCGTACCCGACTTGGATATGAGTCCGAGGTGTCACATTGACCAGTCAAAGTATATACTTTTATAAAAAAAACCATAGAAAATTTAAAACTTTTATTCTATAAAGTAATTCTTTTACATAAACATATTTAAAACCTTAACAGACTCCGTCAGAGCGTACATATATATATCATGACTTGGTTACATGCCAACATACTAAATTATATGACAATACATACTTTACAAAATATTTCTGATTTGAACTTTGTGCGGAGATATGCTGCTCTACGGATCCGAAGCTTGATCTTCTGACTGTTCACACCTACGTGTAAAACACTTACACGCTAAGTCATAGACTTAGTGAGACATGTAAATACATAAAGTAAACTAACAAATGCATGAACATTCCATATAACACATATTATACTTATATACCTATTAACCCATCACTTGCCGGTTTATCCTTACTTATTTCCTTATCATTGATTCAATTCCATCATATGAGCATATATTGAACATAAACATATAACATCACTTCAACCACAACAATAATTACTTATGATCATATCATACATAATCATATCACATCTCATATCACTATTACCCATATACATTTGTTACCATTATTATCATATAATCCTAACTTATCACTTATACATATCGCATATCACATGTACCATTTCACGAGAAACACACATATCATTATATCAAATTATGGTTTCTTTTCAAAGCCCATGCACACTATTGAGAACTTAAAGTACGTGAGTACATAGAGGTTGTGCACTATACTGTCACCACAACTCGTATAAATCCCACTAGGGGAGCGTAGAATTTGTCCCGAAGGACTACATAGATGTCCCGAAGGACCACATATAACACATATGTATCGAAGGACCACTATGTCCCGAATGACCACGTAGATGTCCCGAAGGACCACATATAACACATATGTCCCGAAGGACCACTATGTCCCGAAGGACCGCGTAGATGTCCCGAAGGACCACATATAACACATATGTCCCGAAAGACCACTATGTCCCAAAGGACCGCGTAGACCCTCGACTCTTGGCATGCCAACTATACCTATAGCTCTCATAACACATGACATGGGCATTATCTTTTATCTCATTACACATTCACTTATTCATATCACATAGTTCTTTCACATAGCTCTTTATCACATTTCATATTATCACATAGTCACGTAGTTTACTTTCACATAGCATTTTCCATGAAATTCACATTATCCATCCTTTTTACACATGATCACATCACATACCTTTTTCTTATATGCATATAACATATTATTTCTTATCTTTTAACATATATTACATATGTATATAATCTTATGTCTTATTATCAATATCTAATATATTTTATTATACTAGCCTACCATATAGCATTCTAATAGAAGCATATATGGGTCATATTATTTTCATATATAAGTTTTATCATATATTTCATGATCACATGACTTATTATCATAATACAAGCATTTACATAGTTCACACATAAAAATGCATTCAACAATCAAACATATGCATTTACTCATATATCATACATCTAACACCATATCACTACATGTTTATGCTTTAATACTTATATCATATAATATCGGAATTGGACTCATCGCAAGTCTTAATTCCTTAACATAACGTACACTTACTATCATGTACTCACCTGATCTCAATGTACCCTCTTAAACTCTTATTTCTGTTACATATCTTACTCTGTCGACCTATCCGAACTTTGCTTTCGATCGATGTCTACATAATCATGTATTGATACTATCAATATCCAATTAATATACTTTAATCTATCATTTCATAGACTGAATAACGATTTATTTCATTTCCCATTGAAGTGCATCGGTGCATTCTTCAGTGCATCGATGCATTCTTTAACATGTGCATCGATGCACTACCATGCATCGATATACAATTTACATTCGATGTTTCCATTTTACGGGGATGCATCAATGCACTCCTCATGCATCGATGCACTAACTGTACTCGATGTTAATTTATTTGAGAGTGCATCGATGCACATTGAAGATGTGTCGATGCACACAACCCAGAAATTACATTTTGAGCCCGAAAATTCTTACTTTGACCTCAAATTCTACTTATTAACCCTTCTTTATGCCTTAAAACTTATCTATACATGCATCAACTTCTTATAACACTATAAAACTTTACCATCTCCCATAATCCACCATAATTCTTGAATCAAAGAATTTAATTAAATTTTCCATGTGTTCTAAATTCAATTTTATCACCTTTAACTTCTTAATTAACCCATTGACAAGTCAAATCCATCTTTAAAACTTTAAAAACCTCTTTATATCAAGAATTTATTTCTCAACCCTTAATTCAATTTCCTTTCTAATTCTCTCCTTTTGGTGTTTTAAGCTTATATAAGCTTTCCTTAAGCTTATATAACACTCATGGAATAAAACCCAACTTAAACATTCAAGAATTAATCATAAAAATTAAAACTCACCTTTGAGGTTTGAGCTTGAACCTACGTGAAGAAGAAATGAAGAAGGAAAAGAAGAGTTCTAGATCACTCTTCATATCCCATGTGTTTCATTCTTAATAAGGGAAAGAAAATATTTTTTTAAACTAATTACCATAATGCCCTTTATTTATTCCATAATTATGATTTAATCCAATATTGAAATAGTCCTATTTAAATTCTTGAACTTATCAATTTCCTTAAATTGATCCTCAAATTCCAAAAATTTTCATTTTAGTCACTAACCCGAATTTTGGGATGTTACACAAACCATGGAAACAACGGCACTGACTCTGTCTCCCCATTATAATACCCAACTACAAGAGCATCAAGCACACCACCCAGCTCCCCAAAATACGAAAGATCGAACATAATTCAGACCGCAGAAACGACAATGCATTACACAAACACAGGAGCGGACAGTGGACAACATCAATAAGTAACACCAAAGAACATATAACAAGTCAAACTAAACACAAGACAGTTGCAACAACAACACACAATCAAACGCGGCAGATCACCAAAGCACAAGACAGACACCACCCACCAAAGTACAGGCCACTGGACAATCACAACCAACCAAACAGTAAACGGTGAAATGAAGAAATCCACCAGAAAATAGCATGGCAACCAGTAATACTTGAGCCACAACAATTCAGACAAATAATAAAATCAACCTACTAATATCCTAACACTAAAATACTAAATAATAATCTACTCCAGCTCCTCTTAAAAAACCACGACAAAAACCTCAAGACCAAAGCCTTAAACCTCCACAACCCCTGACAGACACACACCAAGCTCAAACAATTCTGGAGACGCTAAATCCTTGAGAACAACACTTTCAGAACCAACATCGTTACGAATCCAAACCTAGAGCCTACTCGACTCCTCTTCTTTGGAAAGTACAACACAGAACCTCACCATAGCGACCCACAATCTGCCATAAACCTTTCCAATGAATAGTGTTTGGTAGATTATCCACAAACAAAGAAGCAATTTCTGATGGAAGACCTGAAACACTCTCCCTCATATTGTATATTTCAAACGAGCAATAGACTGGTATACTATAGCTTTTACACAAACAACTTGCATACAATTTAAACTATCGCAATCTGACTCCAGAAATTGACTAGAAACCCACACAGTATCTCAAAACTTTGAAACTAATTTCACAAGTAAACCAACGAAATAGCAATAAATTGGAAACATGAATAAATTCACAGCTGGTAGAGAAAGAATCGATCACACCAAGCTAGAAGAAAACACCCCATCAATCGAGTAGCAAAATTGGGGATAAAAGCTAGCGAACCCTAATACCCAAAAACACCAGAGCGGGGCCGACCAATCACTTGTTCAAAGAACATAAAAAAGGATTCAACGTCACTGTGTTGGGCTTATTAGATCTTGAGAGAAGTGGTCGAATGAGAGAGTAAAGCAGCAAGGACGGTGGTGGAGGCGGCCACCGCCTCACTGAAAGGTATTTTCTTTTCGCTCCAAGTTTAGATGAAATTCATAGTTTAGTAGTTAAAATAAACCATACCCTATAATTTAGTTACTATAGAGGTATATATTTTACATATATAAAAAATACCAAAACCACTTTATAATACAAGTTTAGACCTCTTAATTATCCCCTTCAATGTATAATGCTTAATTCTATAATACTGTCAACACGTGGTCTTAAATATGAGAATGTTTAAATAACAACAACCTATAGGTTAAGAAACGGTATGGAAGGGGCACAACAAAAAATGTTTTAAAAACATAACATTTTAGGTTGATTGCAACCTAAAATGTTAATATTATCTTAATATTTTTCGATTGCACACCTTATCCATAACATTTTCAGATACGCTCAATTGAAAATATTATATTTTTTATGCAAAAAGGTACCTGAGTCCCTCCACTTTTTTTCACTCAATGTGACCTTCCAATTTAGAAAAAAAAAATATTCAATGTAGTTATTTGACAAACGTTTTCCGTCTTTGACCAATAGTTCGGTTATTTTGTGCTGACGTGGCACGTCAAGGAGCTCAACCATCCATTTAATGCTATTATAAATTGGGTAAATTATGTCATTCATTATTTAACTATTTTCTTTCTTCTATTTTAGTCACTAAACTTTATTTATCCAATTTAACAAAAAAAAAATATCCCACCCCATCCCCTACCTCAAGCCCCCTCCCTCTACAATTCCCCACCCCACCCAGCCTCCCTCCCTCACGTCTCCATTGAACCGACAAGACACCAAAGCTCTTAGCAAATTCCATAGAAGAATCCAAAGATTCTTTTACTTCGATTGCCCTGTAATTCTGTAAGGTGCAATCTCTGTCAAATTTTCGTAATTTTGTACATATTTGAAGAATCCAAGCATGGATCCTCAGTTTCGTGTTTATTTCTTCAAGGAATGGTATGAAGCTCTCTGTCTTGTCGGTTCAATGGAGACGTGAGGGAGGGAGGCTGTGTCGAGTGGGGTGGGGAATTGTAGAGGGAGGGGGCTGGAGGTAGGGGATGAGGGAATGGTTTTTTTTTTAGTTTTTTTAAATAATAATATTTATATATAAAATAATAATAAAATAAGTTATGGTGATTAAATAAATTTTAGTGATTAAAATAGAAGAAAAAAATAGTTGAATGATAAATGATATAATTTACCTAATTTATAACAACATTAAACGCAGGATTGAGCTGCTTGACGTGTCACGTCAATACAAAATAACGATCTCATCAGTAAAAGACGAAAAAAAATTGGTCAAAAAATTAAATTGAATCTTTTTTTTAAATTATAAGGTCATATTAAGTGAAAAAAGTGAAGGACTACATTGAAGAACGGAAGGTCTCATGTATATTTTTACTTATTTTTATAATATTTTTAGTTACAGTCATTTTTTAATCGTCGTTTAATTTTAAATTAAGTCTCCGTAAAGCACTTCTCCTTGAATCTATCTGAAGGTCAATAAAGCTATTTAAGCTTTAGTAACCAAAATTGGCAGCCTGGATAAGAAATAAAACAAGCAGGTTTGGACATCGCTTGATCTCTTCTTGCTTCACAATTCATATACACTGACGCAGCTTTTATACGTACTCCACGCGATACTAAAAGATTCTCCCTTTGGGCGGCAAAACAATAATAATAATACTTTTTATGTACAATTCATTTAACTTTTTTTTCTTTCATTTTGATCATTGACAGCGTTGACTGTCCATTGCTCATAGCCCAACAAAGGCATGTTTCGTTACTCCTGTCTTGTTCAAAGCTCAACTTTATTTTTGTTTCTATTTTGATTTTAAGGATATTTCGAGAAAAGAAAAATTAAAAAGAAGAAAGAGTAAAAGAAAGAAATATTTTAATACATTTTAAGTAATACCAACAACAGTCGAACGATGGTAGAAAAAAATATCATTCATAAGAGAGAAGAATGGTTAAAGATCAGGTTAATTCCATAAATGAAACTATCCAACACGTAAAGCTTTAGTACTGCTGTTACACAATCAATAATTGGATGGCAAAGAAATTAAATTCAAAAATTAGATGGTAATATCAAAAGCTTTTAAGATTAGATGATCAAAACAAAAACATAACAAAACTTGAGCAGCTAAATACGATTAATTTCCCAAAGATTGATTTAATATAAATTTCAAGTTATCGGATTTGACGAATACGCCCGGTATTGATGAAATATTCATCACGACTTTCAGTCATAATCATGAAAGAGAAAGAGATGAAGATGCTAATTCATGAAGCAGAACTCGAAAGGCATCAATGGCGGAAGCCTTAATATTGTTATACTTATTATGGAGTTTTCCACTCATAGTTTAAAAAGAGAAGGCAAATAAAAGAATGGTTAATTACAAAAGCTCTTTTCCCCTCTCTCTCTCTCTCTCTCTCTCTATATATATATAACTGCTCTTTGTTGGGTCTTTCTCCCTGTGTGAAATGGAGCAGACACTATCAGCAGCCTTCAACCCATTCATGTTTTCTACAGTTGTTTGATTTGTGAACTCTCCATGTCTGAAAGAAAAAGCTCGTTTTCCGTTTCGCTCGCTTCCCTCCCGAGTTCGGAGGAAACCGGACATTGTTAGAAAGTTGCGGTTCGTAAAGCATTCTTCCCTTCTCCGCACCGCCGGTGAACGTCCTTCATCCTCTCGACCGACCTGCATATCCCGCTGCAGGTCCAGTCGAATGAAGCAACACAGATGTTGCCTGCTTGAGCCTTCCACTCGCAGTCTGCATCGATGTTTGTTATCATCAAGGTTTTATTGAACAATCGGCATCACATAACCTCAGGAGGACGTTTGAAGAAACATTACCTGTCGTACCGCAGCAGAGTCTGCGGTCATCTATATGATCGACATCCAACCCGATAAACCATGCTCCCAACGAGACATCTTCATTGGCATACTTATGCAGCACATGCCTGGAAAATTATGTTCCATGAGAGAAAAGGCACATAAAACACAAAGATCATGCGAAGTTGTCGTTCGGAAGATGCGGGAACTTACTGGTTAATCGATATGTAAGAAGCCAAGTCTCTAGAAATGGCATATAGTTGGCCGGTAGCATGGCGGAAATACTTGTTTCCCTCCCCGCCGAATTTCCAATGCTCGGGTTCGTGGTATCTTACTCCCCTGTTCTCCGATGAGGAAAGTGAGAAATTTAAAACGGAAGGTTATATCTCAAAACGTTTAGTTAAAAGTTAAAAACATAACACTGAAAATTTGAACACGCTTGGCTTACTTTTGAGCAAGAACCGGACCGGATTTCATGCAACCGGTATAAACCCTTGGCTTCGACCGATGGCTAGCCAAAGTTGCTCCAAGTGTTGCTGCAAAACCACATAGATAGACCACCTTTAAAAAATTATTAGGAGAAAAGCAAAACCGAGAAGCATTTGCATATTTTAATCTACGAATCCAGGGGCGAAAACTGATCGGTATTAGTTTCAGATGCAACATGCATTTTGGCTGCACAAATATATTAAAGAACATTGAGCTTGATCTTCACCAATCCGAAAAGACTCTGTTCTCTGAAATTGCAAAACCAGGCAAGAGATATTGCTTCCCTTACCAATATTTACATGCACATCATCATCAACTTTTACATAGAAATCGGCGTCCCACAAGACAGCGGCAGTGGCGAAGTATGTCTTGGTCTTTGCTGATAATTCAAGGTAACCCTCAACATGTTCCTGAAGAAATGATTTTTTTTAAATCAAAGCAAAGCAAAATGGTTGTCGAAAAGCTTTGTGACCATGTTCTAGCTTCTAGATATCGAAGTAAACGATAATAATACTGCAGAAAAGAGCTCTTTTCTGCAAGGCTCATATCGAACAGAAGATGTATACATAAAGCTGATGATGATGTAAGAATGAGGGTAGTACCAGCCTCAGAAGGTCGCCGTGCTTTCGATCTTCAGCTTCAATAGCCCTGTCAAGGATGCCACCTGAGGTAGCACTGTCAACGGACAGAAAAGAACTCGACGGTAAGTTGAAGCAAAGACCACAGGATACAGGATGTGAACTTCCAACTAAAATAGCTTTTAACTCGAATAAAGTACCCACCTGTGACCAATTACAAATCGCATTACGATACCCTTCTCTTCTTCGAGCTTCTTTCTTTCTTCCCCTGGTTTTCATACCGATGAAGGAACGATAATCATTCGTCTCACGAAATCATTTTAGAAATGTGTTAATATATTGAACAAAAGAAACCAATCTACGAACCTTGAGGCATCCAAGTAGCACGAACTGAATCTCTTCGTTTTCTGCTGCTAAAAGCAGTATTGATGCCTACAACCATCAAATATTTTCGTTTCACAATCGTCTCGGGAATTTTCATGTCATCTGAAATGGGAGAGCCATTAATTATGGATTCCTGCACTGCTCTCGCAGCTGCTAGCTCCATCTCCAAAGTCGATATCGTCTTATCCAGTGTTCTGCTTTTTACATTCAGTAAAACACAAGTCTTTCACTAAATTTAACAGGAAAACCGAACCAAGCACAGATATAAACTTACTGGATAGCATTATGCGTCTTCGAAACTTCCCCGAGTACATTCTTCGGCTCGTGCTGCACATGTTTCTGTTAACAGAAGACATCATATGAGCTAACCGAACCTAGCAGTAGGTGACATAACTTTCAAGTATTTAGATAAACACTTACCAGTATCGGATGGCAGCCCTCCGAAATTAACCTTAGCCTGTCATCTTTAAACCCCGGTCCTCGTGATGCAGCTTTATCTTCAGCCTCCGGCACTGTCCACATTCTAAATGTCGAAAAAAAATATAATTAATTATCGAAATTAACCGAAATTCACACTGAAAATCGCAGCAGAGACCTCAAGTAACCAATGTCGGATAAATGGAACAGCAAATGAAGTGTTTGAAAACAGAAAATGCCATGCCAAATGAAGATTTGGTGACATCTTTCTGGTTTCTTATGAATTATAACAGAGCATGAAGCCAGTCGAAATCATGAGTTCTATCAGATTTCGAACTCTAATCACTTTAGTTCGATCTCATCGATGACACCAATCAACAAAACAAACCCGAAACCATCACAAAAGAACATGAAACAGAGAACAGAAAAGTCTCCAATATACTCCATGAAACTGCAGATCTTTGCTTTACAACATCCAAAGTTTCCATAACCACTACAAATAAGAATCCCATAGATATCCTAAACAAGACCATCCTAAATCAGGAAACTTACAAAAGCAAAAGCAATATATGGAAATAAAATATAAAACTCAAAAAATTGAGAACTTTACAAGCATCCACTCCACCAAACTGCAAACACAAGCTACAACCAAATCAAGACATGGAGTTTAAAGAAGTAAAAAAAGAGGGTGAGATGAATTCACCTATCAGAAAACAGCATCCCAGCACAAAAACAGCCAATGCAAAGCAAAAGAGTCCATTTTTTGGTCACAAAAGACTTTGAATTTGGTTCCAATCCTTTACTCTTCCAACCCATTTTTCCCCTTGAAACTCTTTGCTTTCTCCCTCTAGAACTAATTAAAATCTAAATCAAAGAAAAACCCATTTCTTATTTCAAGTCAATAAAGTCAATTTTCAGATCCAAAAAATCCCAACTTTACTTCAAACCAAACAGTCAAAACACAGAAAAAGAAGAAGATAAAACAGCAATAGTTTATCCCCCAAACTAAGTGGATTACTTAAATTTTGTATCTTTAAATCGGGTTTTGAGAATTCTTTCAGCTGGAAAAATTGCAGAGAAGAAAAAACTCAACAAAAAAAAAAAGGAAGATGATGCCGTGTTGGAAAGCTCTTGTGCGATGAACCCAACAACTTCAACTGTTGAAGTTTTACTAATATTAACATATATAGAAAAAAGAGATACAATTAATATGTATAGATTATACAACCGACATTCAGAAATGTAATTTTTTTTTTATTTCTTTGGTCTGAATAAGTTTGGGTCCTAGTTGTACATTTATTGACGTTCTAACGACTTCCATATGGTAGTTGTTTGTTCTGTATGATTAACTTCTTAATGAAATGGAAGTACTGCCACAAAAAAGCTTGTTTCAAAGTGGAAAAAGGTTAAATTTTCCTATTTTTGACCCAGGAACAACATAGATTTTAAGTCTAACATATATTCATATTCGATATTTATGTTCGAATTCGAACAAGTACATGTGTAATGTTGTATTCTCGTCATTTTCCCAACGACAAGAAATCCCAGAAAAAGAGCACAAACAGTTTGTGGGTTAAAGCATGGCAAATCACATGTCCTAAGAATGTAGCATAGTGGAGAATATTTAGGCTGTCAATACAACCAGACATTTATTTGTGTCAAAGAACCTTTGAAATATATGATTAGCACAGTTCAGTTTAATTAAGCTAAGCTTCTTTTTTTCTGATTAGATTTGGCTTTTTGTCCTTACAAAGCAGCAGAGAACCATCATCCCAACTGTTGTAATAACCCAACAATTGAAAACACATCATTAAAGTATGCCAAGGACACATGGAACACATGCAAAGAACATGAAGTCTAATAATGGATTTTTCACAGGTTCCTCTAGATTTAGACTAAGAAGCAGATAGATTCAAATCAGAACACAGGCTAGTTTGGTCCCGGTTCCAGGACAAATACTTTGGATTAATGAGTATATATTTATGAGTGTGTGTATACATAAATATATGAAGGTCAAGTATTCCAAGGATTTTGTTTTCTTGTTGATAATTACCAAGGAAAGTTCATAGTAATTAGTGTTTATTTATAGCAAAATATAGCTATTAATAAAAGTAATGTGTGTTTCTCTTGAATAACACATGGAGAAAAAGGCTTAGTTGTACTTTCAAATCTCATTCATTATCCATGCAATGATTATTTACTAGAATTCAATTACAAAGTAACATCAAGGTGTCAATTTTTTACTTTGGGAAGAAGACTCCGTATATTGTCTCTTACACAATATATTTGAAGAGAGATGAAATGTCGCCATAATATCAGCTTGGAAAGGGAATTAGGACCAACCTTTAAGTATGTTTTTTGTTTGATAGATGAACCATATCTTTCATTAAAGATACCAAAGTTTGATTATTTGATCATATATGCCAAACTCATTGTTCATTAAGATATATATTCTCAGTATTTCTTTACATTTGCATGTAAAAAAGATAATGCTGGTGAATTTGTCCTTTTAAAGGACAACACTTTGTCCTTGATTTCAAACATCTCAACTTTAAATAATCAAAAAGCTGCAAAATGCACTAATGGAGTTCATTTTGAGCTCTTTAGGACTTGCCATGATAAGATCAGCTTTGAGTAAAATAAGTGTGCGTTAATTAAAGCATGTTGATGTTATTAAGCATCATGTAGGTGGCACCAAACACGAGAAAACATCGAATGTTGGAACCCCTTTTTGTCACATGATTATGGGCCTGAATCCCATGAGCAGCTTGAAGGTAATAGCATTTAATATTCAAAATATAAATAAGTGAGGGTTAAAATATTTGAATTTGATAAATTTTAATTTTATTTTATAATTTTTTTTTGAAGGTAATCGCATTTAATTTTTTTTATAAAAATGAATTTAATATTCGAAAAGGAACATAAGTGAACTTTGGGCTTCAAGGTAGGACCAATATATATAAGAGAAAATAACTTAAGTGACCGAAAATGTCTTATAATATATGATTTTAACCAATTTTTTTTAGATTTGCCAAAATGACCAATAAATTCACAACGCGAATTCAAATTTCGCAACCCAGGTTTCAAATTCGCAACGCGAAAGTCGAATGCTAATTTAGAACATGGGTTGCGAAATTTGAGATCGCGTTGCGAATTTGTTGGTCATTTTGACAAATCCAAAAAAAATTGATTAAAATCGTATATTATAAGGCATTTTCGATCACTGAGATTATTTTATCTATATATAAAGATCGAACCTATGCTTTGGTTTTTTTCCTTTTAGAATATTTATAAGGATAAATTGTGTATTTTCTATTTATTCGAACTTTTATTTATGAATTCATTAATTAGTTATAGTGATAAAAAATTTAAAATTTAAAATCTAAATAAATAGTGTTATAATCAATTCATACTATTAAAAGAATTTATATTTATGTAACAAAAATAATATTCATGCTTTTTAACGAGGCATCCACAATCTTTTATGTGTATTATCTTCCTTAATAATATCATTTTTACACAAAATAAAAATATTCATGCTAAAGGGGAAAAATTAACAAATCAAATCAATAGTTTTCTCTCATTGGTATTTTTCTTTCCATCTTTATTGATACAATATCAATTTTAATGTTGGTTACCGACCGTTCGGTATTCTTTATTATCCTTTTATTTTCAATAAGTATGCATGTATGGTACGTTTTCATATGCCTTTATGATACGTTTTTTTGTTATTTTCGTTATTTTCACTTATCTTTTTTAAGGATTGATTTGACATCTCGACTATCAAGATGACGCTTATATATTATATTTTTGATTTTCCATGCTTTGGATCATCAGATTGAATTTGGATACTTGTTATGCGTTCACGTCTCTCGAGTATGATTTACGGTTTGTCGGTGGTCTTGTAGTAACTTGATTTCCTTTTATGGTTCGTTTGCCAATACAATCAGATATGTTTGTATTTATTTTTATTCGAGTTTCATAGTTAGGTTTTAGTATTTCCTTGAATGATCCCTATGTGATATTGAGTTACTAGCTTTGTTTCAATTATTATAGAAAAATATCTTAATTATATATTTAATTTACGATTATGATTATAAATATTTATCATAATTAAGATATTTTATATTTTAAGTAAAATTAATGGCTTTTATATATTAAAAAAAGGAAAGAAAAAAGAAAGATCAAATCCATGAACATATATAGCCAAAAACAAACGAAGAAAACGTGAAAAAAAAAACTCTATTGGCCGAGGGGGTGGACGGTCGGAAAGAACCCTGGCCCCATAACTTTAAAAAATTAGGATTTAATCTCTTAATTTTTTTCATAATTTTCAATTTAACCCTTTTAAATATTTTAAAAATTATTTTAAGTTCAAATTCTTAAATACTGTTAATTTATTTCTCGCTCAATTTTGTGAATATTTTAATTAAACACTTATTTTAAAAAATTTAAATTAAATCCTTCAAAAAGAAATGTTATACCAGGCCAAGTAAGTAAATATATATATATATATATATAAAATACAAGAATTATATGGTCGGCAATAGTGGTGGATCCATAAATTTATAAATGAGTGTTCAATTTTTTTTCTTTTTTTAAAATAATGAGGGTGCAAAATTTTTTATTTTTTCTATATTTTTAACATATAATACTAAATTTTACTTTTTTTTAAATAATAGGATGCACTTAACCCATTAGAAGCTTAGTGCATCTGCCCTGGTCGGCAAGGTTCAAGTACGAGCAAGGAGCAGTCGACAATACAACCACACCTCAGATGAAGCCTTGAAGGAACAAGACTGATATAGATTGAAAGGCCACGTGCAAAATCATATCAAACGAGCAAGGGGTTAATTAAGAGAACAATTGTGGTTTGTGTGGCTTATCTGTAACCTAATTAGCAGGCACAACAATAAGGGATGAGGAAATATATAAATGGACAAATTAATATTTTAAATTAGTTCAATTTGGAAAATATATTTGATGATAAAAAAATATTTTAGAGTTAAAATGATTTTTTTTAAATAAATGATAGTCAAAAATATCATTAGACTATCAATAATTTAATAATTTCATGTGTGAAAGATAAGATTTAAGGTATCTTAAAGCATAAAAAAAGGCACGTTTCACTAATGGGAAACGCTAGTTCACCATCAAGTGATTATTGGAAAGCCACCGCAGTCGGCCACCGAATCCCTGGCCGATCCTTGGGAGCACTGCTGCTTTGGAACGTCCTCGCTCTCCCTTATCGCTGCAAGTCCAAAGAGACTCAAAGAAAAGCAAGAACCAAGAGGAGACCCGTCAGGAGATCGAGCCCCCTTTTTTGATAAAAGTGGACCATGTAAAGGGTGGAGTAATCCCCTGTAACATCGATACGTATGATGCTGGTGTAACAGGTGTTGACCTTGGGGATTCGTTGAAGTCTGTTGTTACCCCGATTGCTAAGGGTAAAGAATCACATGCTAAAATTGATGCTTCTGGTTATTTCACTTCTGCTGGATTAGGCCCCTGTTGGATTGAAGAAGTTATAGTCAATGATGAGGACTCCTTGTGGATAAATCGAGCCCTTTTCCATGTATTTGTTTCTCTGATAGAGTTCATGATCGGATCGATCACAACATGCGTTACGTGATCATTGTCCATTTACTTGGCAAGTCAATTGGTTTCGAAACCCTGCTTGTGAGGATTCAAACTCTCTAGAATCCCGTTGGTGAAATACAACTAAGGGTAAACTATAAAAATAGTCTCCAAACTTTTAGTGCACTTTCATTTTAGTCACCAATCTTTTAAAACTTATAATACAATTATCAAACTTTTAGGTGGCGTTTGGTTCGCTGGAATGTTTTTGAGGGAATTGAAATCTGTGAAGGAATTGGAATCTAATTCCATATTATGTTTAGTTCGCAGACATGTCAGATGAATTTGATTTTAATAATGTAAAATGATAGAATTGTCATTCTTGTTTTTTTGCTTTATTTTAGTTTGTTTTACAACTTACATGTAGTAATATATTATAAAAAATTAAAAATATTAAATTTTCATTTTATTGATTGATTATTCATTTCAATAAATTATAAAAATCATGCTAATAAACATCATAAGTTAAAATCATCGCAATCAAAATATGTTAATAAGTTACCAAAAGATAGAGCAATATTTCGATACATTCCAATCGGAGTATGTTAATTAGTTACCAAAAAATATCCAAAAACTATTTTTATTCAATATATGAATTAGAAACCCGACCCGAC